TCCGAGAGACTATCGGCACAGGATATACCAGAATAGCGCGATTTTTTTGTCGTTGCGCTCACCAAAGCTTTTTCTCCTTATTTACCTGCTGTACGCGATTGGAATCGTGTTACCTATTATCGGCAATTACCAATACTGCTTGAAAATTAGCGATTTTTAAGCTCAAATTTCATTTAGCCGATATCATCATTATCTCCACTTTATAATTCAACATCGTTTGAGGTATTCGTTGGGTGCTCATCCTGATTACACGTTGTTTCGATCTTTAATCTTTCGTTTAGCTCTTATATGTTAAGTTCTTTTCATTTCTTCTTTTATCTCTTTTTGTACAGCTTTTAACTTTTCATAAAAATTTCATCTATCATAGTTTTGTTATTTTAAGTTCTTGAGATTTATGTATTTTACTTACACACGTAAAAACAAATCTCAAAAAAAGTTGTTTCGTCTTCGACGCATATTTCTAGACTGGCTTTCCCGCCAGCTGATGCAAACATAAAAATAATAATTGCGAAAATATCTTATAATCACAAGAGATGTTGCATCAGAGATATTGAAAGGTTTTATAGCTCTTGGTAACCAATCTTTACTTTCTGGTATAAGCGTCAGAAAATTATATTGATTGTGGTATTTCTGTCTATGTGGGATTCCAGTTTTGTGTCTCGATTTACATTTGTAATAATATCGTCAATGTAAATATTATGCCTTGTGCCTCTATTTGTTTTTGTGGAGTTAGTTATTTTTTTATAGCGATAATTAAGTGAGGAGGATATCCTTGCCGAAACATAATTTTCCATGGCTTTGCTCCATTTAAATGATCGAAAGCTCTTTCAAAATCGATAAATGCTGAATGGGTTTCTCTCTTGAACTCAGGACGCTTTTCTATTGCTTGTTATAGTGTGAAAACTCCATCATGTTCATCGTCCTTTTCGAAACACCACCTGTTCTCCCATTATGTGTTCAAATATTACGTTTACTCTATTAATTAGAATTTTGACATATATTTTATAAGCCGCGTTTAATAACCTGAGACCAATAAGTTTGTACATTTATTCTTGTTACCTTGTTAAAGATATTCCGTGTGCTTTTTGCCATTCATTCAGTGTTTTCTGGCTTTTCTAACAGTTTGTGGCATTTGGTGCGTAAAATCGAAAATCTATATAACTTTTTCGTGGTTTTTGGGTAGAAAAAATTCATTCCTTTTAATAATTACTTCCCTGATAGGAGAACATGTCACATCAGAATCGCTACGCAAAACGATGATATTGATATTTCACATGGTTTATTAATTGACGGATTAAAAAGGTTAAAAACATCTGATGAAACAACTATGCATTGTTCGCAAACGACTGATATTTTTGAGAAATACATGAAAAACTAGAATGATGCTTCTTCATTGTTTCTATACAGTATTTTTGAACGAAATTTAGATATTGAGTAAAGCAGCGTCTAGAAAAAGCTGACAAGACGTACAAACAGTTCGGACAAAACTTTGTGAAGGAGTTCGCTATATAATTTTACATGCTGGCTGTAAAAATAGCCTTGTGGGGTATGCCAGTGTAATGTTTAAATCGGGCAGTTAGGTACTAAACTAACCAAAACTCTCATTTCCTCAATACTAATATGCTTTGGGAAAAAACTAATTTATTTATTTATTTTACTTTAAAAGGTATGTATCATGTATCGTATCACTGCGGACTTCCTAAGCCAATGCCTAATCAAAGTTGGATCAAGCTGTCTCTCGGCAAGTGAAGCAACACTTGCCAGAAAAACTGCATAGGTAGTTCCTAAGTATTTTTCTTTGAATATGAAACTATTTCAAAATATAATCTGTTAAGAATGTACAAGTTAGCATTGCCAGTTTAATGCGATACAGATAGTTCGATCAGATTGTAATCCTGTAATCACTTGCTCAAGTAAAATAATAATAATACTTCTGAGGGAGTATTCATATCACTTTGTTTCAGGTTTCACCCGAAAAATGGAAGAATTATTGTACGCACACAGACCGCCTGATAAGTGAGGCTTGGGGAAGGGAAAACTTGATCGATGCATCTAATAGTCTCCCAGTTGTGCGAATCAGTTTTGGAAGAAGATATTTTTTCCGATGTTATGTTATGATGTTATGGGTTGACAAAATAGAATTTTAATTTAGTTTTTAGGATTATATATCCGAACCTACCTACTTGAAACTAAGCAATATAGCTAAGACATACGGATCATTTTAGATTACGTCATTATACGTGACGTAACTGCACAACTGCTCTGACTGGAATTTATTTTTTATAGCTTACACACAAAATCTTAAATTCAAATGTTGTTTTACATTTCAAAATACTTCATCTTACAAATATTCAAGCAAAAATGAGAGAGTTTACGTTATTTAAAAGAGGGACACTATGGATAAAATTACTTAGAAAATTGTAGATGAGTTTTTCAAAAGTGTCTACCAGTTATTAACAAAAACAATGACAAATTTGATGATATATCTTATGTACATGATTACAGTACCAGAAATGTAAACTTTTCTTATCCGATGCAGCGATTAACGCTTACAGAGAAAAGCTCTCCCTGAAAGGTATCACTTCCTTAAAATTATTCCAGATGAAAAAAATGTATGTTGATTAATATTGAATTGTATTACATCAATGAAGTTTTGATTGCCAATTTAAACGTTCTAGAGTTGTTTTCTTTTACGACGTTATCGCACATTTGTGAACGCGTACCAAATATAATTTGTTTCGGATGTTCCTAAAAATTTGGAAAAAAAAAACTATTAAGTAAATCGGCCGAGGGAAAATGCTGAAAATATTAATGAATTCTGTTTCAAAGTTTAGACAAATTCAAATCTTTTTTGTTAAATGCTCTTTACTCTATTTCTAAAATGGAAGTCGTGGGGGGTGCTCCAACATTTCAGGAAATAAATGCCGGTAACTCCAAAAGCGCTAAATGGATTTTAATAATTTATAGTGGTTAAGAAGGGCTTTTCTTAGGCTATGAGTGTGATGATTGCGATTGAGTACTCCGTCCAGAGATGGCGTTTCCTGACACAATGGCAAAAAACATAATTTTCACAACCCTGGGAATTCGGTATCTGAATATCTTTATCCTCACCTAACACAGCGCTTTTAAACTAATAACTCTACCCGAACAATACTGAAACTAAACAATGATAATGATCAAATACAACAAAATTGATTGAAAGGAAAATGTTATAAATATTCAAAGTGCCTTCCGCCATTTTTTATGCAGTAATTTATTCTGCGTCGTGTATTCAATACAGCTGTATTAATTTCAGCTTTTGAAAGGTTAGCTACAGGTACGTTCAACCATATTTTCAGGGGTAGTACAATTAGTTTGATAAACAATATCTTTTATTCTACCCTGAAGGTAAAAGTCCAGGACAGTAAGGTCTGGAGATCTGGCAGGCAATGGAAACAAACTGCCCCTTCCTATCATGTCTAGTCTAAAAAAATCGTAAATTCCAGGGAAAAGTGGGCTGGATATCCAACGTATTGCAGGCACATACATTTTCCCGTTTGTAAGGAACGTTCTCTAATAAAATCGTGATTAACTAATATTCGAGATAAAAAATTGGGATCCTCATCTACTTTTAGCTAATTACAGTTATCTTCTATCAAAAACACTTTCTATAAGAGCCTGAAATAATTCAATTTGATAAGGATGTAGACAGCGGTGTTTTAGAATTCGATGTACCGATGTTTTATTAATATCCAAGTCCAAACTTATTCTTCTTAAATTTAAATGGGATATTGTGGACTGGATTAGGATAAACATTTATTAAAACAACAAAATATCCGTACGATTCTACTAACATGTCGCATGTTTCGGCAGTCGAATAAGAAAGACATTTCTTAATGCAATAAACACAAACGATAAGAAAATTCGAAGATTAATTTAGTTCGGTACATTTTCCGATTTGTCAAATTTCATCGTCTACTAAAAAAGCAAACTATTATAATAACAACTGGGGACAAAAAAATGTTTTTATGAAAATCTCCATAATCAACAATTAAAGCATTTCTCAATGGAGATGCTTTATTTTTTCATGGTTTTCTATTTAGGACTTAAAACTTTAGTAATTAATGAACTCAGTCTTTAACAATATCGATTAGTGACAAAACCTATTTAAAAAAAAGAAAATGTGATATGTCAAAACAGATAAGGATATCACAACGTATAATAATGTTTATAGTATTGTAAAAAAACTAATATAAACTAGGATAGATAAAGAACTTTTATTTAAATAGCAACCTGTAGAGAGAGATGCTTACCAATATTCAACTTCTTTTGAGTTTTAAAGTCTTTTATTCATATTTTGGGTTAGCATAAAGATATTGGGATGTAGTTACATTACAAAAGCGATATCGTTGCATTCATTCTTTAGAAAAAAAAGCTCTTGTTTGACTATCTAATGACATATTATGAAATATAAAATATAATATAAGTATAATATATCATATATAAAATATTATAAAATACATTCATATCGTTGCTCTCAATTTTTTTATATTTATATGCGGAAATGAGTACGACTATCCTTTTAGAGATAGAGTAAAAAGCATCTAAGAAAAAATATTTGAATTTGTCTCAGGTTCAATCCAAATATCATTAATATAAGAAAAAATTGCAGAAAATGGGTTTTAAAATTCAAAAAGGCAATTACGCCCTCTGGTAGCCATTTCGTACCCTCAAAAACAATTTGCCAAATTTACCAGATAATGTTTTTCAAATGTTTAGGAACATTTGGTTCCCCAGCACAGTAACTCGTTGCCCTTACTGGGACACCAGGTATATGTATGAAATTTGTAATAAAGAAGTATTAGTACATCAAATGCGCATCTGTGCCCCAGCTTGCACATTATACACAGATAATTTAAGAAGTTTTTGTAAAAATGTGTTATGTTCTGTAAGCAACCTAATATTTTCCGCATAGCCTTCTTGTACCAACGTGCGTCGTGTATCTCGAGACGAAATCTTACCGGAATCGCGCCGATCCCTGTCGGGACTTTTCGCCATGACCGATGTCCTTTTGGACGGCATCGGCATCGAGGGTTTGTGTCGGTTCTGAAGCGCCTGCGCCAAAGCCTGCTGCACAGCTTCCTGACGCACTTCTGCGGACAACAATGCAAAAACAATTTACGTAACAGCACCGAAAGCAACGCGCAGCATGCGATAATCGAGTTCGTTCGTTTTCTGCGGTAAAATGCTTCGCGACCGATTTGGACACGTGCCGGGAATCGCACGGACCGAAACACCCAAGCAAGTGGACGCATGCGGAATACCAAAAAGGAAGTCCAAAGATGCATTTACCTCGTTCGGAGGGAACGTGACGCGAGGGTTAACATTTTAAGGCTGTTTTTCGGTTCTCACCTCGGCACGAAACATCGATTGTTACTAAATATCACCACTGTCATTTGGTAACAATGGCGTTAATTTTTTTCTTTTTTAATAACGTCGAACGTTCGATCAAGATATGCATACGAGTCGACAATAAACACGCCTGCATAAAATTTAATGCGCCGTGTCGACGAACTCTGAAGATTTTACTAGAATTCAAATTATCCCATAGTTGCCGTCGCAAAAAATGGCGATATACAGAGCGAGCAAATTTATTAAATATATTTTATTGAATGCAATAAACATTTTATTTACTTCAAATTGCACGAATACTTGCTGTTTTGCTATGGGCTGCTATGGTAGAACTGTCGATTAAGAAACACGTTATCTTAGGAATATATTGGAAGAAAAATTAATTGTTTTTATACCACCGTTGTTCTTCATAAGACCCATTGCACCTCCTTAGGCCGTTTTCTATATCTCTATATACCGGGTTAATTAAAAGGACCAGAACGCTTAATTCTATCGAAAACTGCCAAAGGTGCAACGATAAAATTCAATACGTGGGGGTATTGGAACATGCACAATTCAAAAATGCGACCAGCAGTCAGATTTACCACTGTCAATAGAAAATTTCTTAAAATTTCCGAATTATGGAGGTTTTTGAACATAGGAAATTTTAGAAGTGTATCAGTGAAAGGTTACAAGAATTATAAATGTTATCGCGACATTTCGTAAATTCTAGTAACCTTTCACTGATATCCTTCTAAAGTTTCCTATGTTAAAAAATTTCCATAATTCGGAAATGTTAATCATCATCAAAAATAAATGGGGCATTCAACCTTAAATACCCAAATATGAAGTGTAACGTAAACAATAGCAAATCTGACAACATTGATGTTAGCTTTTCTGAATTCTACATGTTCAAAGCCCTCAGGTAATGAATTTTATCGTTCCAGCTTTGGCAGTTTTGGAGACATTTAAACTTTCCGGTTCTCCTTACTAACCCGATTTATGTCTGTTATTTTATTCGGATTTGAATTTCCAATATTTTCCAAACGTATTGTTTTTCTTTTGTTTTGCAGCAAAAAATTGAAAAGTTCGACTTTTTATATTTCTGTAAGGTTTTAAAGATCAGAAGAATTTGGTCAAGATGAAAATTCAAGAACTTTTATTATTCATAAACGAGCGATATCTGACATTTAATAGTGCAACAGGTTTAATTAACGATATTTTAGCCACATGTTTGTTTAGGCACGAGCGTTTTCCTATTGTCAACTTTATCTAGCGATAAACCGAATATTTTTATATTATATATTTATATCGCGGAACAAACAATCTAAAGCTGGTAATCTTAAGTTAAACTGATAAACATTGTTGCCCTTTATGCCAGTTTTTCTACTCTTCATAATTTTCGAGATTCCAATAAATCGCCCACCCTGTATATGGGTGATTTATAATTGACTAATTGAATGAAATAAGCAAAACTCCTGAAATCTGTAAGTTTTTGGTTAATTTGAATACAAGGTGTTTCAAAACTAATGCGGAAACCTTAAGGTGATTAAAATGATAAGAGTGGTTCTTATATAAACATTGGGTCAAAAGTCAACTATTAGGGAGGTATCGCGCTGCAAATACGGCGGAAAAATAATGTTTTTATTTATTTTAGAAACGAAAATAGATATAACAATAAAATATATACTATTATAAAAACATAATTATTTTTAATGAGTGGATGGGATTGAATTGGACAACCCCTAACATTTGTATTAACTAAATTTCATTTCATGGGGTCTTTCTTATTATCGCTTTATTTGACATTGCTTAGTGAGTTTGAATACAAAAAAAGACTAATTTAATCAAACATTTATTATCTAAACATTTGATTATTCAATAATAATGATGAGTTACAGCCGCGAATGCCCTTAGGAATAATAGAGTATTGTAAAATGTATTGAGGTGGACAATTCCAGCATTTGAGTTGAATTTTTTTTATTGCAACTTATTGCAACCAAAATTGTTATTTTCAAACATGGGTTTTTTTATTACCTGCACCAATTTTTATTATTATACTATAAAAATGTTTTCAATAAATAAGAAAACTTTGAATAAAATTGAAACTTTAAACGCGCTGCATCTCCGAACCGAAAAACTAACCAGAGGCATATGTACTAAGCTATTATTTATTCAGCTGTTTCATATTCTGCTCCAAAAGTCCGGGAGTGTTCAGGAGTGAATATTAATTTCAACTCCAAACTGACATGACAAAAAACTACTCCAACTTCATTTCAGCTCTTCATTTGTTAGCTGAGCCTACCTTTAGTAGGTAATATCCGCTTTATTCTGTACTATCTTACGCTTTGACGGACTTGTTTTTGTGCAGTCGTTTCGCCTGCGATGCTTACCTGAATGGTAGCGACTCTCGTTGCGTGTGAGACGCCTGTTGCCCCTGCGCAAAGCCCTCGTCGCGGGACTGACGCCCCCTTTCTGCTCCTGTTGCCCCTCACTAGCGACATCTACATGCAAAACAAGGACACACTGAGCCATGCGAACGTACCCCAATAAAAAAAAAACAGCGAAAAATAAAAAGCGTGACACGTAAACAAACAAATTGGCGCGGTTACGGTTAAATACGGAAAACGCGACGATGACGAAAACAAAACAAATCGTTCGATCGACAAATTGGCTCCGTATGATATTTTCGCTCTTTACTTAAAAAAAAGCGTTTTGAGCAATATTCGTTAAAACAGGTGCGGCGCTGTGACATTTGGCAAACGAAGCGTGACGCCGCAATCAGATGGCGTTTTTTTTTATTCTACGGGTTTGTCCGCGTGTCCGCGTTCCCTGTATTTAACGCAACAAAGTAGAAACTGCCGTTTTGCACAGTCTAACCCTTTTTTTCGGCCGTTGCGTTATTTGGATAATGACGCAGAAATTTGCCATTGTTATTTTTTGTTAAATTTAAATAGTCAGCAAAAAAAGTGCGTCTGTTAAAGCAATTTCAGGCCCTTCAGCTTTGAATATAGAACAGAAAATAGTATATTATGCAACAAGTGCGGTAAACGGCATTTGACTCACGAATTTATTTGACAAGAGCGGAGCGAGTGTTTAATAAACGAGTGAGTTAAAAATTTTACCGACGTGTTGCAAACTATACTTTTTCTACGACCGTTAGTTTTTCGGTACATTTTCGGAAAATACGAATACATTCACTGACATGACTGTCAGAATTGACAAACGTCAAAATTCAAAGCATAGGAAATATCTCCGAAAACATCCGATTGCTCCCAAACCCGTGCGGTAAAATCCCAGAAATGTTCCAAGTGGCTCGGGTTCATGGGACTGACGTGGTAAAGTGACGCTTCCCGCACACTAAATCGGTGTGTAATTAGGCATTTTACAGACGGGAGTAGAAAAAGTAAGTTTATGCCTCCTATTTATTATTTTTAGGTTATGATTTTTTCGGGAATACATTTTTGTATAATTTGCATTTCGTACCAACGAAATCTAGAATACTATCGAGGGAATAAAAGCTTGAAGGTCCTAAGAAGAAAGGTAAATACCAGCAAAAATTAAATTTTAAAACTAAAGGACAAAAATATGGAGGCTTCAACCAATAGAACTACTTTGGATCGTTGCTGATCAGCACTATAACGGAGCAGCCAAGAATTGAAAGAACAGAAGGAAAGACACTAGCGTTGTGATTCGAGGGTTGGAGGAGCCACATGAGATCACTGTGAAATAAATAGAAATGTCCCTTAAGGGTATGAAAAGTGACAAAGTGCCGGGAGAAGACCAGTTAATGAGAGAGTCATATTAAAATTTTTAATCTCCGCCTTTCTAACAGTTCTATTCTAGCGAGTTGGTACAATATATTGATGGCACATTGATGGTATTAACATGCAAAAAGGGAAATTCATCAAATGTAGAACCCTTAAAGCCCATAAGCTCGCTCTCCCAGTTGTGCAAGCTATTTACTAAAATAATTAACAAAAGATTAGAAAACAAACTTATTAACCTGAAGAGTAAGCGGGATTTCGGTCAGGTTACGATCACCTACTTGCACTTAAATTACTAACAGAAAAACGAACCCCTAGTTCTTATGTTTGTGGATAAAAAGCATTCGACATGATTGAAAGAGGAGTTACACAGGACGGTACAATGTCGCCAAAGCCTTTCACCGCCATTTTAGAATATGCCTTTACAAGACTTGGGGAATGTTGGCCCTAAGATCGATGGCAAAAAGCTAAACAACCTGCAATTCTGCGATTTGCAGATGATCTTCTGTTAATCACAGGTCATCTTGGGGAGACTGAACAACTAAAACAGGCCATGGGGAAGGTTGGAAAAAATAAACCATCAAAAAACAAACTTTACGACAAACATGGATAATCATATTGTGGAGGAAGTTGGCGAGTATAAATATTTGGGCGACGAAATAACAATTAGAAGAAATAATCAAACGCGGGAATTTGCGAGAAGAATAGGATTGGGTTTGGCAGCGCATGGGGGGGGGGGGGGGTGTTTTTAATAGCGGCCTATTAATAAGCCTAAAAACTAAGATCTACAATCAGTCTATAGGTTAACACATATGGAGCAGTAACACGCGCTCTAATTAAAAATGTCGTATACAAACTCAACAACAATCGAGTTCATAATCGGTCGAGTCGCCACACTTAGTGAAAATGGGCAGGATATATTGCGAGATTCAGAGATCATAGATGGACTCAGACTAAATTGATACAAGAAGCAGAAGTAGGCATTCAACACGTTGGATTGATGACATCAAAGGGATAGCGAGACACTGGAATTGAAAGGAAACGTTTCGGGAAAGACTACGTTTAGCAGTGAACTCAATAAGCTAGATGATGATGACGGACTTATAAACATTTAAATATGTACTTTTGAATGATCAGGAGAATAAAGCAGTAAATTATGCTCGCTTTACAGGAAGAAAATACCCGCAAGGTGCAGCAAAAAAATGTATATGAGTGTAACAGAAGTGATTACAAAGGTTGTATGTGTCTCCTTCTTGTGTTTGTTCGATCTTTGGCTAACTGATGCCAACATCAAGCAACTATTGCCTTGATATCATCTAACCAGCGTTTTGGTTGTCTTCTCGTGTTTCTTTTACGCTCCAGCGGTTTTCATTGTACAATTCTTTTAATCCATGGGTCACTGTCCTGGCAAGCAATATGTCCCATCCATACCTTCTTATGATTTTTTCATTTCGAACATGATCCCTCAAGAGGATTCCCAACTTTGAAAACTTCTGATCCAATCTCATTCGGTTTGCTGAGTGCATTGTGCGGGCCTTCTTTTAGGCTTATTCGAATGTCTGCAATTACTAGAACGTTTTCAAGTTTTCTTACTCTTTCTTGCCTAGCGTTATTGTGTCTTAGGTAGACATGATTTTCTTGATTTCATTATCACATATTTCGGTTTTAAGATTTTGCTCAGTTACTACCTTGATTTTACTTAGGTTCTTTTTTAAAGTAGACTTTCTCTGATTCTATTTTCAACTGTTTTAACATATCCTGGAGTTCTTTCCCTGTGCTGCGTATGAGTATTATATCGTTGGCGAATTTTAGGTGGGGAGATATTGTCTGTTTAACTCCTCCTTTTATTTTCATTTTTTGAGTGGCTTGATCTTCTTCTATATTTATTTGGATGGTAGATTGAGGAGATCTCTGGAGTCTTTATAGGGGTGGGGAGACTAATTGGCCAGTAGTTTTCTAGGTGTGGATTAGGACGACCTGTGCGTTTTGTCATTTTTCTGGGATGACAGTGAGTTGTTAAATTTATTTAGAATTTTAATTGCTTCAAGAGCGGCCATACCTTGCTTAGATTTCTTTTGTGATGCAGTTTCTCGTTTGAGATACGGTTTTGTGGATTTTTTCATAGCAATTTCCCGTATTTCCTTGTAACCGACATTTAAAATATTGGGTTTAGGCGTCCCAAAAGAATATAGTTCAGAATAGAGTATTCAACGATGTCTGTTATTTGTTTCTTTTCGGTCCCGACTTTCTAGTGTCCTAAGTATTTTCATATTTTTACTTCTTTCTATTATTTACTCGATCCTTTCGGTTTGTAGTTTCTAATATTTTGTCTTACTTTATATCTTATTTTCTTATTTACTTCTTTGTATTATAGAGAGTTCCTATATAATCTACTTCTTTCCCTTATCAAGTTTATCGTAACGTGTTCAATATGTTCTTTTTGGGCTATGCTTTTGAATATATTTTCTTGGATGCTATTTGTATAGCTGCCCCTATTCTTTTCTCTAAAGTTAGGTGTTCTTTGGGTGCTAGTTTCTTTCGTACTGCCCTCTGGTATTTATCCTTGTTATTTATGATTTCATTTATGGTTGGGAATCTTTTAGCCGTTACACAATTTCCTTCATTCCAACTCTGCATTGATTTCCACTTTTACCCTTATCATTCTATGGTCACTTACCATGTTGAATCTGTTGAATATTGACAGATCAATTTTATTTTTGGCAATGCAATATAAACTTTGTTGTATATACTTAATCAATTTATCTCCTCTTTCATTTGACCACCATAGCTCAAAATTTCCTCCGTTGATGAAATCACTTCGGATTTTTCGTTTTTCGCTCTTGAAATGTCTTCATACATACTGTCAACTTCTTCGTCTTCTGAGTTGTAGTGTGCGACCAAATATTTTATCCTCTTATTTAGATATCGATGCCTCCGATATGTGGGTTTTTTAAAGTTTTTATTTTAAAGTTTTTACTTTTAAGGTAAGTTGTAGTAAATAGTTTTGCAATCGCAACCAAAAATTCGAATCTTTTTGTAAAGTTATAAACTGTACAATTTACCATTCGTGCAAGTAATTAAAAACTTTGCCCTGAATTTATAGCGTTATTTTTTTAAAATGTTTCAGTTTTTGTTTTGCATATTACACGCAGGACGAGTAAATTTAATTTGCATCGGGATCAAATATTTGTAATAAAATTGTACAACCTTTTAAATCGATGATTATATCCGATTCCAATTTGTTGGGCCCTAGCGGGGTTATTGTGTGCCTGTTTTGGTATTTTAAAATATTAGAGCAAAAAATAAAACAAAATAATGAAATAGGTACTCTCGTTTCAACATTTTATTTTGGTGTTAGTCAATGCGATGGTTTTCAAAATTACGGTTTCAATGTGAAAGAATTCTTTTTGAATTAGCTTTGGGTGCTCTCCGTGCTTTTAATGGGATAATGGTCGCATATGTCACCATAATGAACAATATCAGCCCCTGCGAATTATCCTTATACGGATTTAATTGTTTTTTCCCCTTGGATATAATTATAGTGATGTATAAGCTGCTGCGAACGTTTATTAAATGTATATTTTATTCATTCATGATTTAATGCATCTGGTTTGGGTGGAAGGCTTCTAAATGGGCAGTTTAGCTCCTTTTCGCAAAAAATGTAGGGAGTAAGAATTAATGATTTGAGATCACGAAACATTGTCGTTCTTGCAGGTGTACCTCAGGGCTCACATTGTGCTTCTCTTCTCTTTGATTTGTTGATTTATGTTAGTGATAAATTTATGACGTTTGCAAAGCTTACCCAAAAACACTGTATACATACTTCAGTTGTAGTTCTAGTAACTAATGCATGGCGGTGACAAAAGAAAGATAGCGAGAATGAGCTAATTATGTTGAAAATTGTGGTTTGGGCTTTTTTTGATTTTAGCGGTCAATTTTTTCACGGGTAAGTTACTTTTAACTTGTAGTTTGTTTTCTTTAAAGAATCATCAATACCTCATTATTTTATGGTTCTCAATTGGTAATCACATTAGGCGGGAAAATTGTTAATTTGCAGCAAGCATTTAAGACCTACAGATTATGAGATAAATTTGGTCAGATTGTATTTAAAAAAATAGATTATATTTGATTTTCCAAAACATTTAAGACAGTGCAATGGAAATGTTCCTTCGAATTGACTCATAAATGGTACCTGATGCTGTTTAATAAATAAAATAAAAGGAATTTGAAGATATTTAATGTTTTTTAAGCCCATACTTCGATTAGTTCCGAAGCGGAGTTTGTCGCTACAGCTTTTTTTCAATACACCGTTATTAAGTCGTGTTGTTTACGAAAAGATTAAATACTTTTTGCACTTGCTTCTGTGAGAAAATAAGATAGGCATGCTCTTCGTTGCAGTTTTAGAATCAGCAATATTTGCTGTTCTGTTAAATTTGAAATAGTGTCACTGTTTTTAAGTTTATTTTATTTGTAGCAACATTATTCAATGCACTTTATGTAACAATAAACACATCAGAAATTTGAAACATGTCCAATAACACATTTATCTCACCAATTTTTAAAATTACAAACGCAAATAACTGAAACTCGCAATGTAGGACGCATAATCAGAGGACTTATACTGGAATCAAACAGTTGCAGTAAAGTATAACAAAATAACAAGCGAACCAGTAACCATACAAGAAGGAGTCAGACAGGATTGTATTTTATCCGCAATGTTATTTACTTACTGCGAATGTATTGTTGATATTAATATATTTGGGAGACGAATAGAAGTGACAGAAAAATATAACAGAAATTAGATTAAAGATCGAACACGCAAGAGCCACGTTCAACCTTATTAACAGAATGGAATGTCACTAACGAGGAGGTGTTGAGGCGAGCGCAGTGTGAGAGAAAATTAGTACACGTAGTCACAAAAAGACAAACCGTGAACCGGTTAGAAGAAACATTTATGGTTGAAAAATATCAGGGAGTGAACAGGGATGGAACTGCAACGTTTGGCACCGCTATTAACCAACTAAGAAGAAGATTCAGTACCTTCGCTTTGTCCTGTTGACATATGAAAATACTTATGTATGTGCAGTACTAATAAAATATATATGTATCTAATGTTGTCAAACGTATTAGGGGAGTTATTTCGTTGAAGGCCTTAATTCAAGACCGGTGCAAATCGCTTTGTCGTCACGTGTTCTTCACTATAAATATAGCGTGATAAACGTAAAAAAAAGTACACAACAAATAGACGAAACGTGCACGATTAACCACATACAAGCTGTTCAAAGCGCTACGAAACTCAACCCAAGGCAGGCAGCAACGACATCTTCGCGAGCTGGTCAGACTTCGGTGTTGCGCTTTATAGTAACTAGCGGATGGGGAGAACGCGATATATGCATTCCCGTCGAGGCCGTGAAATGTAACATCCAAACATCAATATTATGCAATTGGCGAAATATGAAAAATATATTCCTTGATAGATTTGGTTGCCGCCTATTATACTGGGAAGAGCAATTTGATAGGGGCTTTATATTTAGTGTGGTATAGAACTACTTGGCAAAGTGTTGACTGAAGATGGATGATATGTTTTTGAATGGTATGCAAAGTCTTTCAGTATATTAAAATTCTTATTACACTGTTTACTCTAATGTTTATATTGTTTTCTTGGGCCTAACTCTCAACTGAATCTAAAAATTGATTACTGTGCTTAAAGACAATTATTTTAGCTTTGACTTTTCTTACCTGGATGAAACTTTTTTGCATGTTTTCTCAAATTAAAACGAGCACTAAAGGTTTGATCACAGTGAGAGCATTTAACGCTATCCATTTTCAATAAATCAAACGCAAATAAAACGAAAACGCCAGAAACCGCAACAATACAAGGAATTACAGTCAAAAGAGTCAAAAGCCGAAATAAAATTATAGGTATCAAAAAATATCAAATCATAACCACGGGCATAACCTTCAAAACAATCTTGACATAACAGGGTCTATCCGCCAAAACTTTCGGTTAGTTTCGTTTCAATTCGTTACAGGCTGCCAATATCGGGAATGAATATATCGCGTTCTCCTCATCCTCTAGTTTTATAGTAATTTATTTTTGACTTTTAAGGGCACAACGCCGAAGTCCTCGGCTCAGCTGACAACGCCGAGAGGCGGTCTACCTGAGTGGTAGCGCTTCTCGTTGTGCGTGACCCTGCGTTGCGTACGCCTACGCGTGTGCTGTTGATGGTGATGTTGCCTGCCGCCTCCACCGCTAACACTGCTGCCGCCACCGTGGCCGTTACTGCCGCCGATCTCGCCGTCACCACCAGCGGCTACAAAAAAGGTACGTACACGTAGAGTATACGTTAATTTTCTAGCATTGCCGAGCCAACCACAAGGCAGTATCATCAGTCTGTAGAGCAATCCACTCAATCAAAACGGCTCGATTGCTATTACCTTGTCGTATGATAGAGGCAGTGACTTGGGCTCGCGTATATCGATCGATAAAAAGAGCTTTAACCTTAAAACCTTGGATCACTTTTATGATTTGTTGAACAAAAAAGGTTTCCGGGTGTCGAATTCTGAGAAGCTTACAAAAAAATAGAATTTTAAGAAAAAGACGAGCCTTAAGACGACAAAGTTTTTCTGCTACAGGGTCATAACAGGGAGGCAAGGAGTATACTTTTTGCACGGTTCAATATAAAGCACATAAATTCATTCGGCTAGTTACGGCTGTTAGTTAGTCCCGATACAAATTACTTTTCCAACAGAATAAGAAAGGGGTAAAATTAAAGTAGGCGCTTCTCCGCCAGAAAATATAAAAGTCACTCCAACTGCTTTGCATGAATCATTAATTAATTTAACTAACTGGAAATGATAACAAAGTCAATCTAGAGTCATAGCACTAAGACCAGTTGCTACAGCAATTGAGTTCAAATGCGTCAAGGCATCACGATATCCTCAGCTGAATCGAATCGGGTTCTTTCAAAACCGAAATTTTTCTTTTCGCGCGAGTCCAGAATCCATTTGATTTTTGTTGATCGAGTATCAAAAGCGACTTATTTAGGCTGTTAAGCCTTTAATATGGAAATGGAAAAGTAAATTTATTTCCTTTATTTAATATTTTTTTTAGTATGTTTGTATGTTGAGATAATTGCTCAAAAATTAACTGAAGTAGTTTCGAACCAAAGGATAATTGAAGATTCACCAAAAATTCACAATGATAAATTAGAGAGAAAAAAACTTGCAACGAGAGGAGCTTTAGCATGTCTGATGAGGAAATTTAAAATTAAAATTTAAGTTTGTCTTTATTCATCAAAAATAAAGCAAACTAAACGATTACAATCGTTCTCGATTCAGTTTAAATTTGGCGCCATGATCGGAACTAGTCGACACTTTCTGACTGGTGAGCACCGTTAGAATATCAATCTTTAATTATTTAGATAAAGCGTGTTTTTTGATACTTAGATTGGAGCCGCAATTATTTTTTAAATGTCGAGCGCATCCCTTTACAGCAACGAGTATCTCTAGCGGGAGGTGGGGGGCAATTAAGATCACTCAGTTCTATCTCCAACAATAATTGTCGTAAAAACTTAGGGTGACAAAATTATGACTAACGATGATGGCGGTGTTTAAGTGTCAATCTTATTATGATTAAACAACTATTTATTTTTGGTGGCTTTATTTGTAAAAACAGTACTTTTTGTTAGATGTTATTCGGTTAATGTTTTTCATTATTGCAATATATTGTATTTTATTGTTATTGGGAATTTAAATTTAATGTTGGCGTTTTAACAGAAAATTTATATATATTTCACGAATATTAATTGTTAATAATGGTAGAATAGCTTTTGCCTGGTAGTAGGTAACCTTAAAATATTCCCAAAGATTGCAACATTTTTTTTTAATTTGTTTTACTGATTTTATGGGTTAGGAAAAAGATATTGGAATACGGTTTTCATTAGCATGTTAAACCCTTATTTAATATTTTGTACAATTTTTTTGAAAAAATAAATTTTATTTATAGTGATCATCTAGCGGCGAAACAAGCAATCTAAATCAATCTGCTCAGGGCAGCGTTGATAGATCAAAATGAGCCCTTTCAATACTGCAAGTTTGACAAAATGCATTCACCCAATCTGGTCATTGTCATGTATTTTCGAACACCGGCCATCACCTCCCCCTTAAGAGATAAGCCAAAACCATTTAACAAAAAAAAAACCCGAATTCATCCTTCTATCCGTCCATTTGTACCTTTAGTAATATGAGATTATGTTCCAAAAAAGTACGATTGAAAATTTTCTCTTGGCCCCAAGTTTTTACTACAATTACTTTCGAGATGTTCGATATTTTGAATGGAATTTACAGTTATACAAGAAATAGACTCTAATCGAAGACATTTTCGCAAGAAAAAACAAAAACCACAGACCATCACTTCCAGTGGTGTTGCCAATAAATGCAAAGGTAATAAATATAAAAAGTTCTACGTCAGAATTGTTAACCAAAAAAATAAACTAACTGAAAAATCTTTGAGTTTTATATTTAGAAAACATATAAGATAATTATTTCTGATGGAGATGGTTACGCAAATAAGCCTGTGGTGTTAGAGTATAATGTTTTTATGTAACTAAAATTTGCATAAAAGGAAATTATGAGAGACATATTGTATACCTCCTTTCGCCGTGATGAGTTTCTGGCCTCAAGAAAAAAAGATTTATTATTATTTTATGACTATATTTATATTATTATTTATTATTTTTATTCTGACATTACGTCATTTTTTCACAGAATACATAATGAATTCTTCATAAATTCCTACAATATCCACCCAAAGAAAACTGAAAACGTTTGCACCAACGCAAGAAGTTACGAGTAGGTAATTATTGGAGTAAGTGGGGGGGTTAATTTGGACGCTGAAAAGAAATAAAAGTTCACACTCAATCGTTCCGCCTCTAGTTTTCATGCTGCCAATTCAACTTGGCTCAATGACGCCACCGCCTTCATTAACTAACTCAAATATTTACCCGATAAATATGCCACGTATGCGCACTCGCATACAACATTCAAGTTAGAACAAGCGTAAGCGCATTTGGCGTTCATTAACGAGAACAGCAACTGTAAAACCCAATTATTCTCCACTGATACTTAAGGCGGTCCTTACGTGCAAACTGACATAGCAACTTTGTTTGTTGTTAAATTATATAAACCAATTGGATTGGCTGTTTCTATGAACTCAAACTTTCAAGATCAAAGTTTATTTTTTTGACGTTTTTACTTATACTATCCTTGTTCGTGGCTATTCCTGTCTTTTTTGTTTTGAAATAATTTGTAACCTAAACTATCATCACTCAAAATCGAAATATTTAAATTCTGGTTAGACAGTAAACCGAATTACTTACAATTTCATAGGCGACAACAATATAGCACTATCACAAAATCACAAAATTAATAATTATCTCTAATAACCTATACCTTTGATTTTACATTAAAAGACAATATTAACAAAGTTCAATAGGCCAAAGAGTCAATTATTGTACATAGTTTTGTGACAGCCACGTAACATTATTTTTACAAAAATTATGTTACAGTAGGTGTTAACTAAATTATATTGATTATTTGGTATTTAATCCGGTTAATTAAAAACTGTACATGACATGACAAGAATACTAAAAACTGATAACGAAAAAAACTGTTTAATGTTATAGATAAAAAAATTAAAAACTGTCATCGTCACTTATAAAATCCGAACACTCCTCGTCTTCTAAGTTGTGGAAGAATAATCATCCGTATTACTTCGACATCCAATACTCGTTCTTGATCCCACCCGTCCCTTATTAATATTTCTGTCTGTTCCGGATGTTCCAGTACTCGTAGGTAATATGAATCAACGCATCTTGTCAAACTATTTCAACTTGATCGGATTTAAGACCTACATCTTTCTCGTAATAACATAATTTAAACTGGCACACAACACAATATTTCATCTAAGGCATATATTGAAAGGAGTTTTTTTTATAATTTGATTATATGTTTACATAGCTTACTTTAAAATTACGGAATTTTTTCCACTAACATTCAACTGCAAATTTTGAGAAACAATTGCATCACTTCTAGGCAAATTTTCTCCCCTACCATCCTCATTTTTTTCGGCTACAAAATTAAGAGGACAACATCTTCTCTGGGTGAGATGTAAGTTCTGTTGACACTTGGAGGTGCAATATGTAGCGTTTACAATATCGCCCAATGTCTCTAAGCTACAAAGAACAGGTTCGGAATAGTTTGCACGTAAGGTACCGTATGAAATTGAGTTGCTGTTTACATAAGAAGCTAGCTTTTAAAAGCTAATATTTAAGGCGGCCTTTTTAGTTTCAAATTCTTTCGTACATAAGCAGTGACCCCTTTTTCCCACCACCGAATAGAAAGACAAAGACATCGGCGTACTTAACATTCGATAAAAGAAACGAGGAAAAAAAAGTAACCCTACATATAAATTGCGGTTTGGCTTAATGCGACCGTTTCGGGCTATCAAACAAATTTCCCGTCGAAACATTAATTCTAATACTTTGACAATTCCCTCCCGGACTGGGATAAACTTACTGGAATTTTGTTTCGGTACATAAGGAGACAGCAGCCTTGTCCGTTTCTTTTCGTATCCCTTCTGAGTTATGTCGCCTGCAACAAAAAAAACTCCAATTACTAAAATGAGATTTTTTTTCGTGAAGAAGAAATGTATCTTTGAAATACTCGGTTTATTATTTTTGATATAAACCGACATGTTCAGGACTCAAAACATGTCTATCAGTGGTCGTTTTTACGTCAATCTTAGATGGTTATTAGGTTGCACGAGAAATGAAACATCACTTAAAGAAATGATTGCGTGGCTGTGAATTTCGCAGACGATGGCAGTAACGTCTTCTCTGTAAACATCTGAAAGCAAAAATAAATACAAATCTTGATAAACTTTTCAAAACACCCAACAAAACAATGAACTTCTACATTCTAAATTGGAAAAACCGCTGTGACAATGTATCTTCAGGCTTAGGAGGCATCTTTGCTTGCTAGGCATTGGAGACGACCCGGAGTGCAGGTGGTGCATGGAGGGGAGTATCATCTGCTCACCGAGTGCCCTGCTTTGACCTGGGCAAGATTGGGAGTCTTCGGAACGGCCCTGATCGATCTGGACTCAGTGCACGGTATTGGGCTAAAGGAATTGCTGACCTTCTATAGGAGGGGCGGCATTCTGGACGTCTGGGGGCACAACGGGCCCATCTGGTGGCCTAAGTGCTTGGACGCCCGCGAGGGCCAATACCAATACCAATGTATTTTCAAAAATCAGCTCATCCTGTTTTCCTTTACGAAATTTAAGACAAATTTTAACAATAAAGCAAGCAATAGCATGTCTCCTGAGATGTTTGCTTCTGGTGGTCTTTCTTCGTAGAAAAAAGAATCATGTAGATCTCATTCGCTGGTTTTTTATTCTAGAACTTATTATTCACATTTTTTCGACGTCTTCCGATTCCCAATCGCCAGTGATCTCCCTGTTAATGTCGTCATTCCAACCCCTTCCCTGGCCGCTCTCTATTCTTTATTCTTTGTACCACCCTAGTTTTTTGTTGTTGATTTTGCATTGTTTCCCTGCCGTTCTTCTCCAGAACTCTGTTGCCACCAGCATTCTCATGGGTCTTTCTTTCAGCTTACATGTAAAAATGCTTTTTATGATAGTGTTATAAATTAGCTGTTTGTTTCGTCTTGTAATTTTTTGCCTGCCTTGGGAATTCTTGTCGTTGTTGGATTTAATGTTGTACAGGGCGGCCCGTTTAAGAGGGGCTTATCTCGAAACCTATGGAGGTAACAAAAAAAGATTAAATACAAAAGGTGTTTCTATTAAAATGACCTTTATTTTTTTTATTTTCCTAATGGTGACTTTTTTATATACAGGGAGGTAAAACAAAGTTATATTTTTTAAATATAACATCCTACATTTGATTGCATTTTTGGATAGTCCTTTCAAAGACAAATTTAACGATATATATGAGTATGCACCGTTTCGAACTTATTAGCGATGATCTTCAGAATTCGGGTTATGTTTAAACCATCATAGTGGATTGCTTTTTGATTTTTTAAACTTTTTTCCATCTATTTTTTAAAAAATAATGCTTTTCTTTAGGCAAAGATTAAATTTAAAATATTATCTTCGCAAAATGATACTTTTTCTATTGTATTAAATGAGACATCCTGTATATTATTGGATTTTCGAATAGTCACTATAATAGCAATTTCAATTATATAACATAGTACGTGTCTCTGACTTACCGTTTTGGCTTAATTGACAGATAAAATTAAAAACTGGGTATAAGATTTAAATGATTAAGATATGAAACTAGGAATTAGTTCCTTATCAACTTGTTCACAACCGTTTTTGGGGCATTGTTAAGAAGTCATATTAAAAACAGAATATTAAGCTTTGCACAATGCCGCCAATTCTATTTCTACATTTAAATTTTTACGTGAAATGATTACAAAAAATTAACACTACTAATGCATATTACAAGTATAATTAATTAAATAATTTTTTCAATATATCCGCCGTTTTGAAGAATACAAGTAGTATTTCTAAATTGTATATGGAATTTGAGATGTAATTCGATTCATTCAGATACTTCACTTCCAAAACTGTTGACGGCTTATCTTTGTAAACCATATCTTTCTATGTGCCCCATAAAAAAAAGTCCATCGGAGTCAAATCTGGACTTCTCACTGGCCAGGAGATGGTTCCGATTTGGCAAATCCACTCTCTGAAATTTTCATTTCAGGAGCGAATTTCGTTCATTAATAAGTTTAAATACCGTACGGATGCTAAATTGTGTTGGTAAAATAGGGGTCCTAAAATTCTAGACCTCCAGATTGCGCACCATACTTTCACAGTTCTTCGCCCTTGCTTTAAAAACACATTTTTTATTTTCTGAATTTCAATAATGAGTATTTTTTTTTAAATAACACGGCAAACGTTGTAAATATTGATTCATCAAAATCAAAATTCGTGTGTTAAGTTAAAATCTGCTTGTTGTAGTGTTTCTACTGGTATGAAATTGTTGTGGTTATTCGAAAATCCAATAATATACAGAAGGTCTCATTTAAGAAATATGAGAAAAGTATCATTTTGCGAAATGTGACAACACCGCGTATTGTAAGAAAATATTTTAAATTTGATTATTGCCTAAAGAAAAGCATTATTTTTGTAAAAATAATAGATGGAACAAACTTTAAAAAGTTAATAACCAATCCAGCAATGATGGTTTAAACATAACCTGAATTCTGAAGATGATCGTTAAAAAGTTCGAAATGCCGTTGAAAGGACTATCCAAAAATGCAATAAAATGTAGGGTGTTATATTTAAAAAAATTTAACTTTGTTTTACCACCCTGTATATCAAAGAATGACGATTAGGAAAATGAAAAAAAGGTCATTTTAATAGAAACAACTTTTGTATTTAATTTTTTTTGTAACCCCTGTAGGTTTCGAGATAAGGTATAGGTCCCTTTTAAACGGACCACCCTGTACATGTATTTTTTCAGATATTTATAAGTTGAGCACGAGCACGATGATGATCTGTTCGTCTCCAAAAAGAGGTTTTGATACACATCGCTAACATACACGTGTACTCCATTTTTGATTTGTTCACCTCCAATCCATATTTCTTATACTCTTCGACGAGCTTTCGGGTCATATGCTCTATGCTGCCGTAATATAGCGGACGCAATCCTCTTAATAGTCTAGACTGTGGACAGAAGTCCCCTGACCCAATGAGAATAAAAGTTCTGAACCTTTTGCCTACTGAAATAAAAAACCAAGAGACGCCTAAGAGTTTTAAAATCAAACTAAGGTTTCTAATAAACGGCTGTTCTAATTTGTCTAAAGTATCGTTTGTTTAAATAAAATGTTGTTCGTCTGCTTTTATATCTTATTAGTTACGTGGTGTATATTATCGTTATTGTTATTCTCCTCGTTTCTTTGACTTTTTTCTATACATCGTAATGTCGATGGAAATAAAAATAATTCTATTTCGATATGCCTCGAGAAATGCGTGAGGAGTTTGAACTTTATTTCATCTACGGGGGCTACATATACGCTTTCCCGGAGAATGTCGACGTAACCACCATTGCATTTTAATTATTAGGAATATGCGTGGTTGTTTCATGTGGGGGCGGGAGGTACAAACCGGGCACCGTAATGTAGCCCCGGTGTAACAACAATAATCTGCGCGAGACGTTTATGAGAATTGATTGTGCTCGATGCGGAATTTCTCCCCCATATCCCTTAATTTATCGCGATGTCGTTTCGCGCGGCGATATTCAATATCGTAATTTACTGGGGTGTTGTACATCGAAAATAATCCCGCCGACTGTTCAATCGCTGTCGAAAGAAGAGTCAAAGCACACACAAGACCGAGGGTCGTAATCGATGATACTTTTCTACTATCGATATATGTTCTCGACGTCCGCGTATCAAGTAGAATGTATCGAATTTAATTTCGAAATGATCCCGAAAAAAATCGCCCGTATCGTCGGATTTTGGAGTGTTTGAATGAAAGGAATTCAGTAGCGTGCCACCAATAACTACAGCTCCATTTTCTGAATTTTAACAATGTGTTAACATGAATCAATGTGTTACCTTATAGAATAATAAGCAAGGTGTCCCGAAATTAGTGGGACAAACCCTAGTTATCCATATAAACATATGTCGCAAAACACCCCCGACCCCTCTGTGGCGCCCCATGCCCTAAAAGGAATGAATGGTTTTATATCAATATTTCCGGAAGAGGTTGAGAGAATATTTTGAAATTTTTGCTTTTTAGTAAGTTTCGCATGCTTTAAAAGTCAAGTTTTGGTCAGGAGTGTAACACAAGTATCAAAAACTGCAATAACATTCTGGTGGGTTGACTTTTAGACTTTTTTCTTATAAATTTAGAAAAACACACAGTATTTAACTTAACCTTACCTTATTCATGTAAAATCTAAAAGCAGCTTTTGAAATCTCTCTCTCTCTCTCTTTGCTTGCATTCTATAATATTAAGTTCTTTAGGTTCACATTTTCAAAATTTCTTTGCAAATATCTATTTTTTTCTTTCCGAACTGCCTTCGTTTTGTAGTTCCTAATAAGTTTATAGTAATTATAACGAATTCTTTATTTCTTTTTTTTATGTTTTGTTTCTTAGTTTTTGTAATAGTTTTATATTATCAGTTACCCAAGGCCCCTACTTAACGCAGTCATTCTGTAAAACTTTTCGTAGAACTACGTAAGTCATTGAAAACTGAGATTTTCTCTAATACTTGAATAAAGGACATTGAAGGTCTTTTTAAACCTCTTCTAGATTAAACTTTTTATTGCCTTTGCAGTGGACTGACGAATTTATAGATTTAAATATACTACAAAATTTTGGACAATATCCAAATCAAAAACATCAGTATTTCAGTCTTCCACCTTCCATATGATATCGAAAAGTGACCGTTATGTTTGTGACTCGCATTGTTTGTGTTATGCGTACTACTTGGACAGTTATCGAAGGCGCAGAAAGGAACCCTTATTGCCCGATATAATGTATTAAGAATAATTTTAAATAATTAGAATAGACAATTCGAAATAAACCTTTATTTCTTTAGACATTTTATGAC